AAAGTCCAAAAAATTTGGATCATAAACTATGATTCAAGTTGTATTATAATTTTGGTTCATGTTTGAAGTGGTTGTACAAATAGATGTATGGACAACGTTGGAAGAGAGTAGGATGCAAAGCTGAGAGAAGGGTGTTGTTTGACTGACGTAGAAAATATAAATAATCAACGTTAGATCGGGCTTGACTTGACTTCTTAATTTTGAGGGGTTGTTGTTCGTGACGGATATTTCAACGGGGGAGGAAGTGTTTGGATTGGTTCTTTGGTTGGTGTTGTCCTGTTTCTCTGTTTTTGAGGAGGAGATTGATAGCGTAATCGATCGATCGACCGACTGAAACCAAGCGAGTTGCGAGAGAAGGTCACAGAGTCAGACGAGAAGCTTAAAAGATTCTGTTAGTTGACCGTTTCTGTCCCCCCTTGGATGAGCAGGGTGAGATAGATGTTGTGATCAAGAGAGAGGAAAGGAGACAAGAGTCAAGACCAGAAGGGATGAGGATGATGGTCAAAATCAAATCAAATCAAATAAAGAAAGAAAACAAAAATGGTCAAGAAGAGGATCAGAACTTGAAGGCGTTGGACGAGGAGTTAATGACAAGCAAAATGAAAAGAGCAAAGGAAAAGAGAGAAAGAAAGGGAACAGTTGAAGTGGTCTGTCTGTACTGGTGAGTTCAATGAAGCTGTTTTTCCATGAGACAAGTTCGAGAAGAACCGACAATCGATCCACCCTTCTGTCTTCGTTCTTTTTAGTCAAGGAAATGATTTCAAGTGGTTGTAAAGAGGAAACGAAATTTGGAAAGGGGGGGCGAGGCAGAGGCAGTGAGAAGATATGTAGAGACTAACGAGTCGGAGGGAGGTAACGAAGATCTGGAAGTGATCTTGCCTGCTTCTCTTCACTCTCGAGGGCGGCCAAGAAAAAAAAAGACAAAAAAAGAAAAATTGAATTTAAGTATTTATTTGTATGTACAACGCGTTACAACAACAGCAACCATTCATATCTATCATCACCATATAACGGCTTATGTACAATGCTGAACAACAAACAGCCGAGACAGTGATTTCGAGAGACATACAGTCATATCACATGACGATGTATAACTGACTTGTGGACTGAAAATATGCAGCATCATGAGCAGAAAACCTTTTACACATCACGAGTCGAGCTTTAGTTCCAGACCGGGAAGGGCGTGATGGTGAATAAGAGAAATGTGATCAACAGGCCCAAGAATCGGACACACCGATCGCTCTCTGGTTGAATTCCGGCTCGGGAGGATCGCCTCCATCTTTAGTCAGACAAGTTATCATTCCACATGGTCAAGTGGCAAAAAGGGTGCTAAGCGTTCCGCAGTTGGTGGTGTTTTGTTAACTTGGAGATAGTCTGCAACCCCCGGTTAACCCTCCCTGTTAGAGTATCTAACCAAGATGTATCCATATGGAGTCCATGTGCACGAAAAAATCAAAACTCTTATAATTAACCCAAAGAATCTGTGAATCCTGACCTTTGTTTGGATTGTGCCCTTTGGCAACCACCCTCCTGAGCATTTGTAATGCACAATTGGATGCCTGACACTGATAGCATCATTTCAATTTGTGAATGTATGAACAAGACTACAGAGCAATGACTTGCAAGTATATGGAGCTTGACTTGAAGCATGATTGCATTGACTCAAGGCCCTAGTAAGTATGTAGGGAGCTTGTGATTATAAAGGGAACAAAACCCAACCACATCTTTTTGCTATTTCTCTGCTTGATGGTCAAGTGTTGTGGTTCTTTGAGATGAATCAATTATAATACTTGGGGTGCCACAGGTTTCAATAAAGGAATTGGTGGATTGCAAACTGATACTGTGCAGGATTAAATAACTAAGGGTGCAAGTTGCACTTTGGGAGTCAAGAAGCAAAAATAATTACATGGGGTAAAGATTGGCACTATCTTTGAGATTTTTCATGAGGAGGACTAGAGCAATTAAGTTGTAACTAATGCTGTAACTAATAGAGGCAATAAAACAAAGAAGGAAATCAAATTTGTTGAATTTTATGAGCTCTGAACCGGCTGAAGTTGAAGACTTTTGAGAAAATGGCACAAAAAAGGTTGAAGGCCTTTTTTGGGAAAGGTTCACAGAAAATGAGTGAAAGAACCAATGGATTCTATTTCTTGTAGTTAGCCTGTTTAAATAGACTAAATACAAGAGGTTTAAGATGTGGTTGAGAGAAATGAATAGCAGAAACAAATTGAATAAAAACTGAGAGGAAATAAGTTTATGAGTTCTTGGAAGAAACAATGTGACAGGCCTTCTCAATATCTTTTAGTCATGCCAGAAGATTAATCAAGAGAAAACATAAGTTAGACCACAAATATTGAAAGGCGTTGATTCTTCATGATCAGTTTTTAAAGAATCAAATAGTGAACCAGAAAAAGAAAGAAATCAATCAATAAGACTAGAGTTGTTTGATGAAAATTGCCATGATGAGTTCTAATTAGACTACAAGAGAGCATAAGATTCAACACAAAAAACAGCTATGATTGACTATAGTTCAGTCTAGGTCAAGATGATTCAAGAAAGAAAAAATTGGGGAAAAGAGGGAGTGATTTTGGGGAAGAGTAGGCAGAAAAAGTGAAAACTCAACAAAATTGAATAAAGAGTAACACTAGTTGCATGTCACATACCTATGTTGAACTCGTACTATCATGATAAAGCAAATGGTCTTAAGATTGATTTCTTAAGATCATTGATATATTCTGAGAAATGAGTTTAATTGTTGACGTTATACATGAGGTGTGTCTTTGTAAGGTGCTGCCATGTTTCGTAGTCTACATTTGCATGTTTATCGAAAGAGATGATGATGTAGTGTCCCTCTAACCCTTCTTTGAACTTGAAGTCTTGACCAGCGCCTTCTGCTGGGGAGCGGAACAAGAAGTTTGCTGAAGACTTTCCTCTGAGGTTGCCAACATTGGCTTCAATTGGAAAACCAGTTCCAACTCGAATGGGTTCTGGTGAATTATTTTGGATCATGGCTGATGGAAAATGTCTGGTATCTCCGACTGGGTATCGGACAGTCAGTCCAATCGGATATTGTTTTGTCTCCTCCTCTGTGAATGCGTGATCAAGACTACAGAGCAAGTACTTGGAACCATCATGCTCAACTTGAAGCAGGGTTCCATTCACCCAAGCCATGCTAAGTAGGGCGCTTGTGAGCATGGGGAGTAAAATCGACCGCATCTTGTTTTATGTATTCCTCCGGTTGATGGCCAGAGCAAAAGTCTGAGTTCAGTGTTTTGTTGACGTGACGAAATTAGGAGGCGGTCTATCTAGCTGACGAGGTGTGTTGAACCTAGTTTCAGTTGCAACGGGCAGGAGGTAGAACCACAATCCTGAGTAATTATGATGATCGTGTGGACACGACGCAGGGAGTTTATTGGCTGGAGTTAATGACTGATAAACAGAAAAACCAGCGAGTTTTATATATTGGGAAGGTGCAATAAACTAAAAAAAGATGGATGCTATACGGTCTTTTTGTCTGGAGTAAGGAAGGATAGATAGCTTGACGATGAAATCAGAGATCCAGAGAGGAAGAAGGTGACAAAGAAGCAGTCCTTTTATGACCATCACAACGACCAATTTTTGTGCGGTGGTCTGACTCCAGTGAAAGAAGTTTTGAACGGGACATGTTGGACCGAGTGGATGATTCAACACCACAATCATGCCATCAGCTGTACGAGCGCTGGAACCAAAGTCGTCGGCCCAGCGTCTGAGAATCATGTTCCTGGGCGGCCAAACCGGCGCCGCCGAGTCCGGCTATCCCTGCCATGAACATGTTATGTGGACATGGTTAATCAAACGAAGTCTTGAGCAGGACGCGTCGCAGTGAACCGCCGACATGACTGGTCAGGACCATATTGGCAGCACAGCAGTTGGATAAAGGCCTGGATGGTACATCTCCAATTCAAGTACCGGGAGCATGAAGTGTTTCCATGAGCCTACGCTGGTCGGACGGGAGTCCGGTCCGCTTTTCTTCGGCGGTAAAACTGCAGCCAAGGTGTGCGATTCGGCCGGGCAGAAGTGCACTGGCTGTTTCATCGCCAGCATCCACCCCGCGAGGACAGGTCGCGTAGAATCGCTGATGCGTAGGGCTTGCTTGAAAGGAATACGAACAGTGGCGATACATGTCGCATACCGCTACTGGCAATACTGGAAGTGTTTACAAGAGCTTGCTGTTGGTATATTGTCTGCTGGATAATCCCCTTTCCTCGGCGGACAGACCCCTCAACATGGGTGTGCAATCACAGACACAAAGTACCGCGGGGAGTAGCTATTCCTTTTGGACTCAATTTCTTGGGAGGTATTTACGTGTTGGATTGAATAGTTCAAAAATAGCGAAATGATGCCCAGCCTCTTGCTATTCTAATGGTGCTTCCCTCTGGGATGGAGACGCATTGTAGAATGGATGTCCGAGCGCTCATCGAGTGCATCCGCCCTTCTGCAGCATTCACTGATCAGTCACTTTTTTTCTTTGTCTCTGTCTCGTTAAGTGACCTGTTCTGAGTCCTGATTGTACTACATATAACTAAAAGAATGGCCTCAGAGGGCCAAACAAACCGTCAGGCTTGAATAGGCCTTTCTATTGATTTCTCATGCGGCTTCTAACGCCGGCGTCGATGTTGCACATTTCAATGTCATTTCCGACATTCGCTAAGACTTTACAATCGATGGCAACCTTCAAAAGCAAAGGCTATATTCACAATGACCTTCAAAAGCGAAGGCTATTACACCACAGGACCTTCAAACAAGTAAAACCCCCAACATCCGGGGCAAAAACACGCAGCCTCCCCAAATTTGGGGGCATATACTAGTATGGAAGCTATATTTTATTCATCATTACAAACTCAACGTTTTCTGCCTGATTGTTTGCTCTGCATGTGTGTATGTATCTCTTGAGTCTTATTTACAAAGCCTTCGGTCCTTACTTCATCAACAATCTTACCTGTCATCGCTTAATTTGAATATTTTGAGAGTAATGAAGAACATGTGTAATAGGCGGTGAAAAAAGATGGATAAATCATGACAAATACATACACTGATAATAACGATAACGGGAGCAAACCAAAACTGTTCCAAGGATGAAGTTATGAATGCTGAGGCAGAAAATCTGCATATATTCAAGGCAAGCGATGGCAAGTTCCGTGCCACCAAGTGAGCGCTGGTTGTCTGGATATTGGCCGGTGAGGTGAACAGGCAACGCGCGTCGTTGATCCTAGCAGCTCTCAGAGAGTATGCACCTCCTGATCCTTCTCTGTTAATTCCCCAAGCAATTGTACAACAAATGTCAACAGTTGCATGTTAACAAAAAAAGATCCGATTCCGAGCCAGGGAAGACTGACCGATGTTCTTGACTAGAGGATCTTTCTTGATCGATTGCACCTGGGAAGGCTTGATGTAGACGGCGAAACCTTTGATGATCGAGTATTCGTACTTGATCACGGCGCCTTGGTTTGTCGTTGAAGGATGTAGAGAGGAGCAAAGGAGAAGAAAAAAAAAAGTGAGCTGAGGGAGTTGGCGACGGGAAGGAAGGTTTCGCGTGTTAGGTTACCTTGCTTGATCAATTGTTGCCTGTACGCCTGGAATTGTGCTGGATATCGTTTCGAAAGAAGGAGGTTCGGGAGATCAACAAGCGCGTCAGTCCAACTCCAATCGATGCGTAAAGATAAAGCAAAGGGCAGAAGGACGTGTTACCTGGAGTTGTGTTGTCTTTCAGGGTGACTACATAGAGATGGTCGAAAAGTCAGCAAAGGGGCTCGTTTAGGTTGGAGATGACGCGGGTGCACTGAACTGATGTAGACGCTAGTCGCCTCTTGGCCATTGCCCGGTTTCTGGGAGCTAGGACGAGCTTCCCGATCATTATAACCTTTGGGGGCAACTAACCAAGAAAGCACGCATGTAAGCAATCAGCATATCATATCCCTTCCAACGCCTGGTGCGTTCAAGAGGTGTGCAGTGATATACAGTTGTCCGCGGGTGGGGAGACTTACCTGACTGAGCTTTGGCCTGGCTTGAGACCTGATGGGCGTCGTAAGAGGCGGTGGTGTGGACCAAGTCGGGGAGAATGAGGCCGACGATGGCGATCATTAGGATAATGAGGAAAGGTGCGGAGAGTCGGTGAGTCATTTTCTTGGGGTGTGGATGGGGTGGAAACGGTGAACTGGAACTGAGACAACTTCTTTGTTTGGGAAAGACACTTGCTCATCCTATGAGTTGAAGAACCAGGTTCCTTTTATTGTAATCACCCCTGTTCTCATTTGCAAGCTGGATTTGTGTTGGTGTGCTTTGGTCTGCCTTGGATATCCGGAAGCTGAGAGAGTGCCAAACAAGTTGGCCGCTCGCGCTTCAAGAACAGCAATTTGGGCCTTTGGAATCCGTCTGCTAGTAGTATATAAACCAAACTACTTTTCTCGAGGGTGTCCCCAGTCTGAGCTGGAACTCCTGACAAGCAGTATGAAGAGGTAGCAGGAGGACCGAGAGCAAACAGACAAGGCTAAGGAAAAGCATGCGAAGCATATTGCCAAAAGGACGCTGGCTCGATTCAGACACAGCCTCGTAATATGTAGGTCTCAGCACTCCAGCCGGCCCGTCTGCACCGTTATGAACCAAAGAGTGACGATACATTATTAAAGCTGGGTTCAAAATTCACTCACGGGTATGCGAAAGAAATCTGGCCTAGTCTCGATCACTGCTATTCTAGATAGTATTGCTACATGAATAGATGTCGGATGACCAACCAAAACTTACTCTTGGATCAACGCCGGCCGTCAAGTGAGACAAGAGGACCCATGTATGCCGAAGATCATAGTGGCTATCTGTACTGCCATATTCAGCCACAACACCAGACCCTCATGATACTGTCAATTGTGGCCTTTTTTGGTGTAGCAGCGTCTCGGCCACCAGCATGGGACGTTGTGAGCTTGGCAGACCCGGCAATCAAAGATATGAGTTCAGCTATCCAGGCCAAGAGATAGTCTGCAATGGGGATCACTAACCCTAGGGGATCAAATCTTCTTACAATTATGTGTAGGGAAACATTTGCCAGTGATTGTGTGAATGGCCAACAACATCATCAAGTCTTCATCAATGAATCAATTGAATAGGTAGAAGAGAATCAATCAGAATGGTTGCTGATGGCTCTTTACCCAAGGTGGAAATTATCAATTGTAGTTAGCCATGATCTTTGGCAGTAAGGTGAAATATTTGATCATGCCTTAGCTTTCAATGTAGCTGTCACCAATTTTCCCACACAGAAAAGGGAGGCCATGCATCAGATTACCCAAACAAACTGTTTATAATCACACTAGGGTGAAAGTCTGATACCCCCAAATAGCACAACAGTTGGATAGTGCCACAACATCAGTCCAGCACATCATCAGTATACAGAAGCTCAGCACAAGTTCAATTCCCATTGCTCACAAGACATAGACTCCATTCACCTCAATGAACATACAAATCATAGTCTTCATGCTGGCCTTGGGCTTCACTCACACAGCTTGTGCTGCCCTTGCCCCTGCCAAAATGACATGTTCCCATTGTGAAGGATCCAATGTCTTCCAAACCACACTACCAGGCTCTCCAACTCACGGTCACTGCTTAGAGATCGTTCGTCCGTACTTTTTGCAGGTACCTGGTACCTCCTGGGGGGTACCCCTTGCACCCGCCTTCCACCTGCCAGGAGGTGCCAGGTGCGGTACTTGGTACCTATTTTTGTGAAAAATTGAACAGGTACCTAGGTACCTCTACAGGTACCCCCTCACTTCCCTACCAAAAATCAAAATGATGGTGGCCTTCTACTCCAAGAACTCCAAGATCCAAGAAGGTACCTTGGCTGCATGGAAACAGGGACTCAAGGATAACAAGAAGTCTAACAAAAAATCAAAAAGGAAGGTGATGGTTTTGGATGACAATGCCAATTAGTTGTAATTTTTAGATAGTTTCAACTTTTCAATAAATTATTAAATATGAACAAATGAAAAAAGTGATCTGGGACTGATGTTTTACAATAAATATGAAAAAAATAGAAAATTAAGATTCTTCCAATTAGATGTAGATATATTACAACAGATATTAAAAAATGCCAAAAAAGTGACTTGTGAGTGATATTTTACAATAAATATGAAAAATAATAATAATAATAAAGTGACTTGGGACTCTGGGAGTGAGACTAGGTGAAAAAGAGAGGGGGGGTACCTGAGGTACCTGCAACGGGTACCTTGGGTACCCCCCGGGAGGTGTCTGGTGCGGTACATGGTATCTATTTTCTTGAAAAAATGAACAGGTACCTAGGTATAAACAGGTACCCAGGTCCGAACAAACGATCTCTATCACTGCTACTACTACGTCTGGGACTTGAAGGAACTCTGCTTAGAAGAACGCACAAAAGAGTATTATAAATGTCATAGTTGTCAGCAGTACACCCTTCAGAACCAAAGTAACCCTGGTGACAAGTGCACACACACAAACAAGCAAAAAATAGTTTGGAACCCTCCACCCCAGGCCCATGACCCCTTGAAGGCTGAATTACATTCCTCCTTATGATGGTCTATTCAAATTGATCCACAACTCCATCATTGTTGGCATAATTGTAACTTTCTCTGATTGGAACTTTGGGAATTTAAAAAGACCATACCCGCCACAAAATATTTTTTTTACATATTATGCATAGGGAAAAATTCTTGTTGAAAAGAATTCTACAACATTATGATAACTTGATCCAATTGTACCTATCACAATTAGGTTTTGATGCTAAAGCATCTTGATTAAAATGAAATTGATTGACTTACACAAAGCAAGCGGTTCAGAAGACAATAAATAATCAAAGAACATTCAAGCTAAAGTTTCAGAGATTTGTAAATTCCTCAACTGATCAATTGGGGCAGACTTGATGATGTACTTATTTTTCATTAACACAATAACCACAAGTTCTCTGTCTGTACAAGATTGGAAGAAGCTGTGATCCCCAGGGATTGTTGTTCATCATAGCACTGCAGAACTTAATCAACAAAATTGATTTTGCATACCAAGCTCAAAACATCAAGTGTTAGTCTTCACCAAGCCAGCTTGCTCCTGAGGGGGGGGGGGGTGTTTTATTTTTGGCCCTCTTGATTCACCTGATTTCCCAAACTGCATGTTTATAATCAGCTTGGTATGAAAGCCCATTGTCCACCAAATATCCAAAAGGTTAGATAGTGCTTCAACACTCTTGACCATCACCTACACACAGGAGCTCAACACAAGTTCAATTCCCATCGCATGCTACAAATTGTCTCAAATAAACTCAATGAACATCCAGAACATAGCCAACATAATCTCCTTGGGCTTCATTCACATGGCCTGTGCTTCCCTTAGGCCTTCCCACATAAAATGTGTCCATTGTGAAGGCTTAGATGTCTTTCCAATTGATCCCCTAGATGACCCAACTCATGGAAAGTGCAACTACTATGACTGGGAATCAAGGAAATACTGCTCAGAGTGGCGTGAAAAAGAGTATTATGGATGTAAAAGATGCCAGAAGGACACTGTTCAGAACAAAAGTAAAACTGGTGATAAGTGCACACACACAAACAAGCAAGAATTTGTATGGTCCCCTGAACCCCCAAAATATGGCCCTGCCAAGGCCAAATTTCATCAGTCCTGATGATGGGACATTGAAAATAATATCAATTTACTATCATTTGTGGCATAATCATATCTTTGTCTGATGGAAATTTTCAAAATTTGGAAAGACATCCTGCCACACAATGGGTCTTTAATTTTTGTATTGGGACAAGTTGTTCATAGACAATTCTAAAGTATAATAATTACTTAATCTAATTTCATGTACATACAGTGGGTAGAAAGTGAAAAGTGGCGGCTTATTTTGGTTTTAAAAGCTTCAAAACACAAATTTGAAGTCCTGATACTTGGTCAAGTGGTGCATAATTGATCTCAAAAAATCATCATAAAAAAATGAAAACAAAAAAAACTTTGAAAATTTGTGAAAACAAAAAAACCCAATTGATATTTTTCAAAAGCTTTGATAGTTATTTTGGGGGAGTGGGAGTGCTTTGAGAAAGAAATGGAACATGGGAAGAATGATTACAACTGAAAATCTTGGAAAAAATGGTTACCAGATGATTTCAAACAGCTGTTGAGTGGGGCATTCACTTGAAAAATATTGATTTTTTTTTTCACAAGTTTTGAAACTTGTTTTTTTACATCATCATTATTGGGACCTATTTGAAATCACTTGACCAAGTCTCAGTACCTCAGCTTTGTGTTTTGAACCTCTGGGATCTAAAGTAAGCAGCCAATTTTCACTGTTACCAACAGTGAAACCAATACAATACATGTGTTTGTATTTATTGGTATTTGTATCTGTTTTTCTCTGAATAAATTGTATCTGTATTGTATCATGAAACAGATACTATGCAAATGTATCAAAATTCTTGTATCTGGCCATAAATACAGCCCAATGCAAATAATAAAATACTATATCTTTTTTATCTACCAAAATTTTTGTTGCAAACAGTCCAAATTGGACAAAAATTTTGAAGTGGTTTTTGGATACAGAATTGTTTTTTTTTTCAATGTATCAGAAATTGATGCAAAAGGATCTGCAGATAATGTATCATATTGTATCTGTTTCACCATTTTGTCTACCCACTGTACCAAGTTAATCAGATTATGATGGAAAGAAAAATAACTTGACTTACAAGAAAACAAGTGTGCAAGAAGCCAATTTATAATAGGGGGTATCAAATTTAGGCAAATCCACCATAATTTAATTGACTGGGTTTGGAAAAGGAACATGCTAGTTCTTCATATCCCCCTTTGGGGACCCATTGGTGAAAAAAATATTTTGAATGATTAAGTTATGGAGGTACTGAGCAGCCATTTTGGCCAAAAAAAATGAAAACATGGGGATGAACCGCCAATTTGGCCAAACAACCGCCAAATGACGCCCCTGAACCGCCAGAATGGCCAAATTGAAAAATGAATCCAACCGCCAAATTGGCCACCCATGCTCCTGAGCCGCCATCATTGCCCCTGAGCCGCCATGCATGGCACTGAACCGCCAAATTAGCCATCAATTTTGAAAAAGGTCGAATACAGCCTGAAAATCATACAGGGCATGGCGCACTACAGAAGCCACATTCCCCACCTGTATCAGAAATGTAAACACATAGATTCTGTTCGTTC